GACGGAATGCAAATTGAAAATGTCATAAAATAATTGGCTATTGATTGTTTTATATGGCAAAACCCTTGACTATTGAATGTATTAAGTCATTTTATGTTGTAATTATGTTTTTAAATTATTTATCTTTTTTTTTTCTTTATGCATAATCAAATCTGATTGGTTCATGGTTTCTTTGATAGAAGAAAGTAAAGAATTGAAGAGAGTAAGAATGATATAGATGAACTTGATGCGACTGCTCAGATGGGGACGATAAAGAACAAACGAAGCCTAACAAAAAGTACCCCATGTTAACCTATTCCCTCTTTTTCTTTCTTTCATCTATGCTCGAAAACATTTGTTAAAAAAACAGAACTGTTGCCATTTGGAACTGATACTTGAAGTACAATTAAATCAATTTAGTCACTTAGTTATTTTTTGTAGTGATTAAGACATTATTATACTTTTTTAAGTGAAAATGCTGGGGAGATCACAACTTCATTACCAGTCAAAGAAAGTCAAAGTGTTCATCTGTTTTTTACACTTAAAGAAGGATTCTAATAGGCATTGTTTGATTATTTTTTCCAAATGGAGTTCACGTGTTAAAGGGTTATTTCTTTTTTGACTTTATTTATAAATTTTTGTGTTAAAGAGTTATATCTTTTTTGACTTTATTTATAAATTTTTGTCTGTTTTGAAGCTCCTTTAATTTTTCACCGTCCACATTTATGAGTTATTATATGTCTAGATGATGCCTTCTGCACCAAATCAAGTACATCAAGGGTTTTTTGTAACTAGGATGGGAGACGATGATGGCAGCAAGGGAAATAGGTGTAAATTGGTCATTTCAGAATCACCGAGTGTATTATTGCTTTTTGTAACTTAGGATTAGAGTTTTAATTCTTCTACAATTGATTCAAATTCAATTTTTTTGTAACATTATTTCTTACCCATAATAGCAACCTACTTACATTTCGATACCAATATGAGCAGTGGTCATCGAAATCAACAACATGGAAGCGATATCAGTCACAAACTGAAGAAGGCGAAAGTCACAAACTGAAGAAGGCGAAAAGTTATGTTTAAAATCAGTGCACCAAACAAATCCAGTTGTTCAAACTATTGTTGGACTCAAACTGAATGCTTATGTACCGCTTTCACATATAACTACATTCTGTGTATACAATCAAACAAAAAACAAAACTCCTTCTGGCCCATGCAAACCATGGGCATCTTATCTCCAATACAAACTTATGTTAATAAAATTGTAACACTCGATTTTGGATTTGCTTCATTATTCGGGGTTGCGGCCCAATCATCAGTTGTCATGAGGCTTAGGGCCTTGGGGAAGAAAGGATTTGGCCCTTTTCGGATGTGGGTGTTATGGTTTAAGTGATCCAAGTGTTCGATGGTGTTTTCGGAGCCCAAGGGTATAATTGTAATTTGATAACTTGGTCCTTTATGACTTTTTGAGTTTTGTTCGGGAAGTTTTAAGGCTATGGTGAGTTGTTAGAAGCGTAGGGTTTCTCGCCACCTTTCCGTGGATATAAGGTTCGTTGGAAACGAACCTAAGATGAGGAAGTTAGAGAAATTTGAAATTTTGGTAGATATGGCCCTTAATGGAAAATATTTGCAAATCAGTCCCTGCATGCAGGGAGGAGAGCGTGCCTCTGGGTGTGGACGCCCAGCGTAAGCTGGGGTACGCCCAACGTAATGAGCAGAGTGTCAAACCCTAACTTTTAGGGTTTGGTTACCATTTAAGCATCCTTATAAGCTCAAGGCTCTTTCATTTCTCAGCCTCCACTGACTTCTAGCCTCATTTCGGAAAACCTAACCTCTCATTGAGTGTTTATGAGATCTAAGTGTGCATTTTGGTGTGCTTTTGCTCATTTTCAAGGAAAGGTGTTTGGTGCTATCTTGTGGTTCAAAGGAAGACTTCTAGATCCAGAATCTTGACTTCATTTCCAGCTCATTTAAGGTATCAAGTTCATACCTTGGCTTCTTGTTATGCTTTATGGGTTTAGGGATAGATTTGTGCTTATTTTGGGATTTTGAGTCCTCCTTGTGAGTTTGAGCCACTCCAAGAGCTAAGATTGCTAGATCTTGCCCTTTCTGAGTTTATAAGTTTGTAAAAATGGTATCTTGATCCTTGCTTTTGGTCCATGCATGTTCTAGTTGGATTAGAATGGGTCTAAATGGATTTATATGGTTGTTGGGTCCCATTAAGTCATGCAAATGCATAAAGGTGCCGACTTTATGCATTAGGAGCTTTATTTTAAGGTTCTCAGAAGTTTGGGTGCAAAGTGCTTAAGTGGTTAAGCCATAAAATAAGTTTTGGAATAAGTCAGGTTACGCCTCGCATAACTAAACGTACGCCCAATGTACCTAGTTATTGGTCACGATCTGGATTCGTTGAGTACGTCCAACGTACTGAGCGTACGCCCCGCGTACATCGTTCAACTGGGCTTTGGGCTTGTTGTGTTTTTGGGCTTCGCATCTTTGGACTTGTTGCTTTGGGCCTTGTGGGCCATCTGAGATCAACTTTTTTGGATTAAGGAAATTTTTGGGCTTAGGATAAGGCCCATATGGGGTTAGGCTCAATTTGGAAAATTGGGCCATTAGTGGGCCTTTGTGGATCCATTAGTTTTGGCCTTTTGGTTTATGAATTTGGGCCTCAGTTTTAGTTCAAGCTGGGCCAGGGGTAAAATGGTAATTTTACCCCAATTATGGATTATGGGTCATAGATTGAAACCCAATTGTTAATTAGGTGTTATTTTTATACTGATAGCTCGGGGAGTCGTCAGCGCAACAGCTAGGGATTTCTTTCGATGAGCTTCAACATTCGAGGTGAGTCTCCTCACAGTTCTATGGGTCGAAGGTACCAATGCCGGCCCATTTGGTTTATGTTTTATAGATTGACCCGGGGGTGGCCTTTGGCATTTGTATGAAAGACCGGGAGGTCGCTCCTGACAATCTGTATGCAAGACCAGAGTCTGAACTCTGCAATTAATTAGTTAATTAGTTGTAGATTGTATGCTAGTTGTCTTTGTGATACTTGCATGGAAGACCATGTGGTGGCTCCTGGCAATTGTCTGTAAGACGCAGAGTTTTGGACCCCGACTCGGCAAAGAAAGACCATGATACGACTCGTGGCATAATGGCAAGACTACGGTTGGCACATAGCACTTTCTATTTATTGTTGGATATGCATGATATGTATGGATCGTATGATATGTATGGCATGTGGTATTTGGGGAACTCACTGAGATTTGTGATTAGTTTGTGGTTTACGGTTTCAGGTACTTCCGGTTCGAAAGGGAAGGGCACGGCTTGATCGCAACGCATACACCCGCGTTTTTCATAATTTGTGATTTTGGGATTTTACTCTGATAATTGTTTACTCTGGAATACTTTTAAATGTTTGAGTAAAGATAAATGAATGTTTGAATATATATCAAAAATGAAATTTTTACCCTATGATTTTCGGGATGTACAAAAACGATCAAGGAGCAAAAAGTGAAAATATTGTCTTTGTAAATATTTGGACCTATTAAATTGCATGTATAAAATATTTCATTTCTCTTAGTAGTTGCGACTTACGATGAAGAAAAAACAACCGACAGAAAGATTTTGATTCATAGTAAGTGTTTTAATATTCAATTAGGTTTCATCCTAATCTTTAATTTAATAAGGGTAATTTAGTAAAGTTATATAAAATTTCAATTTTACATAAGTTCTTAATTTTTAAATTAATTTAATCCTAATTAAGTTATAAGTTTGGATATAAATATGAGTTTTATAGTTTGAAAATGATGATCCTCCTATACGGTACATGAACAGGGTTCTAAGGCTGTAATAGATCATCTGAATAGGAGCAGATATAGCAAACACATAACTCATGAGGAACCTAGGACAAATTCAATATCTTATAGAAGCAACACAAAAAGAACAAGTATAAAATTCTCAACAAACTCCTTCAAGAACGACTGATAAACGATGACACCATCTTTAACGTAATGTCTTCTGTTGGTTTTCTTTGACATTAGTGGCGAATACAACCCCCACGAAGTGGGGTTTCCTATCTAGTTTAATATAAAAAAAAGAATAATATCCGATTAAATCAATCTAAAAATACCAACATATAAATATAACCGACAAATCTATATGGGAATAAGAATCAAACTCAAACTCAATCAAATAAAAAAACCTTTGATTCTTATTATAAGTATAAAATAAATCAGGATTCCAAATAAATATTACAATGAAAAAAAAACCTAAAATATTTGAAATAAAATATGAAATTCCCATCACTTTCAATTTTAAAAACCATTTATTAATACTAAGTAAAAAATCAGTATAATTTCCATAAGAATCGGTTTAAATAATAAGTAAGATATGAAATCAGCATGTATACTACATAATAGCTTTTTAAAATTAAAAAACCTTTGATTCATATTAGAAGTATAAAATACACTTTATTCTTAACTCTCATTTGTAATTTGTCATATGTTTTCATAAGATTTTATTATAATAACTTAATTTTTTATTTTTCCATATACCATTTTTCATTTACAAAATTGATTCTGGTTGTTTTTTTTGTTATATTGAAATTTATATTTCATTATATAATATCATTATTTTTTTTCATTAATTTACACATGAAGAATTCATCTATCTTATTTTTACCCATTATAATACAAAATAAACATCACATCACTATATTAATTATTAATTTTTGTTAAAATACTTTATTAATTATTTATAATTTTTATCTATCAATATTCGTTTAATTTTGTAAGTGCCGTTCTCACGAATGCTAACCTAATTAATATAATATAAATAAATAAATAAAAAGTAAGCATTTTAATCACACGCTAAATAATTAATCAACCAAAGATTAAAACCCACTGATGAAAAGGAAACTAATCAAACACCAAATTCAAAATTAAACCATATATTACTACATTAATTCACAGAGAGTTCAACATCAATCAAATATTATCTCGCACTCAAATTCACAAAACTCACTTTCCAGGTACAAAGTTTGTAGCATATGACCATGCATTGTTTGCAACAGGGTCAGCAAGGTGATCAGCAAGGTTCTCCAATGGTCCCTTTCCGGTAACAATGGCTTGAACAAAGAACCCAAACATAGAGAACATGGCTAGTCTACCGTTCTTGAGCTCCTTCACTTTCAGCTCAGCAAATGCCTCTGGGTCATCAGCCAGACCCAATGGGTCGAAGCTACCACCAGGGTAAAGTGGGTCAACTACCTCACCAAGAGGTCCACCAGCAATTCTGTAACCTTCAACTGCACCCATCAAGATCACTTGGGTAGCCCAGATGGCTAAAATGCTTTGTGCGTGGATCAAACTAGGGTTCCCCAAGTAGTCAAGACCACCCTCACTAAAGATCTGGGATCCAGCCTTGAACCATACAGCCTCACCAAACTTGACGCCGTTACGAGCCAAGAGTTCAGGGAAGACGCACCCAAGAGCTCCGAGCATGGCCCATCTGCTGTGGATGACCTCAAGCTCACGGTTCTTGGCGAATGTTTCAGGATCAGCAGAGAGCCCAGCAGTGTCCCAACCGTAGTCACCGGGGAACTCACCGGTCAGGTAAGATGGGGCTTCGCCGGAGAATGGGCCAAGGTACTTAACACGGTCGGGGCCGTACCATGGACTTCCTGATGGTGCGACTTTCTTGACTGCTGTCTTCCTCATGGAAACCCTTCCATTTCCGGTGATTTCTGAACCAGATGGTGTTATTTTCACTGCTTGTCCGATGAATGAAGAAGATACAGACATGGTGGAAGCTGCCATTCTGTTAAATTTGGTTGAAAGATGTTGTGGAGATAGGAGAGTTTGAGTTATGAAGATGGGGAGATCTGCAAGTTTATTTATAAGGTGGTTTTTAGGTCAGATAGATGATCAATGCTTATCTAGATACAATCTTTACCTTCATTTTGATTGGCAAACAACATTCTAGTTTTATCTAAGGGTCGGTAATCTGCGTGCTGTGAGTTCTCTGGTCCACCAGAGATTTTTGAAGGGGCTGCGGTTTATTCATGGCTCTGGTTTATTGAGGGAATGTAATGGCTCCCATTCTCAGCCACAAGCTGTTCTTGGTGTGGGGTTTTTCATCTTTAACCATTTTATATTTTCACAAAGTTACATAAACAGTCATCATGCTTTACAAAGTGACCGGTTCAGCAACAATTTTTTTTTCCGTGATTAAAAATTTAAAACGGTCCGTATGGTTTTAATATTATTAGTAATCATGTAAACATTTTAAATTTTTTAACACAAATATATGTGATTTTCCATAATATCAAGTTGAGTACATTATTTTTTTTTTCGGTCTATTTGGTTTCAATTCCTATCATAGTTGGTCTTCTCCCGGTAAAAGGAACTTTATATCTTCTATAATATATTTAGTTTATTTTATATAAAAATAACTATGTTTTATAGTTAAAGATAAATTGGGCCCACCACTTCCAATCATTCATTCATTAATTCTACACCCCCTCTCTCTCTCTCTCACACACATACACACACATATTCATCCCTAACTCCTTCCTAATCTCTATTTCTCTCAATCGATCGGTCAATCTCTTTTCTTTCTACTTCAAAATTAATCCAAAATGCAACCCTTTCCCATACTCTATGCTTGCACCGCCCCTTTTCCTTTTTGAACCAAATCGATAACCATACACAAGTCTAGAAATCTGCTAATGTGTCTTCCTTCTCTCAAAATCAAAAAGTAGAGAAGGTGAAGAACATTGAGCTCACCTTTGTGCATCTCACACCTCTCTTACACAGGTATCAAATTAAAATGGAAGAACAACTATGTGAAGAACCTAGATTTTGGAGATGATGATGAATAAAGTCGATGTTGGCGGTGCTCGGTGATGTTTGATGTTGGTGGTGTTGTGGTGATCGGCTGTTCAGTTGGCTATATTATGGTAGGTTGGACGATGGTGACCGTAGAATCGACAAGTCATAATAGATATGTGGGTTTTAGCAGGTGTTCAACAATGTGGTGAGTGGTGGTATTACAAGTGGATTGTAGGAAGTAAGAAATGTGGTTTTTGGTGGTGATTTGATAAAGGTTGTGGTGGTGGTTCGTTGATGATGAAGGTGTTTTCTGGAGGTGATTTGAAGTTGCAAAGGTGTTGGAATAGAGGGATAAGGGTGGACTGGTGCTTAATAGTTTTGTGTTAAGGATGGTGGCGAGAAGGTGGTTGAAAGGAAGAATAAGGGTAGTTTTTGGTTGTTTGTGTGATGGGTTGAAGCTGCCTCTGGAGAAGGTAAGCCAAGAGTGAGCATCAAGGCTCAAGATTTAGCAGACTTCTTGACAGATATGCCTAAAGAGGGAAAAACAGACATTTGCGTCATAAAAGTACCTAGTACCGAAGCAGTCTTAACAAAACCCTCTTCCCCGGTAGTCGTAGGATCCCATTATTAATGGGTATTACACACCAATGGGGCGCCGATCCATGATGGCTTGGGAACAGAGGCCATTCTGACAAGTCCTTCAGGAGAAAAAGTAACATATGCGCTCCATTTCAACTTCAGTTGCTATAATAACGAATCAGAGTATGAGGTATTGTTGGTCGGATTGCAACTAGCTATTAGTATAAATGTGTCAAAAATCAGTTGTAGATGTCGAATATAGTTGTGAGGTGTCGAAGGTCATAGTTAGTTTCGATAATTTGTAACTTTATTACAAGGGCACGTTATGTTTCGAAGTTTACAGTGTGCAGTCCCTTGTATTTTTTATTTGCTTTCATGTTCCCTATAAATATGGGAAGTGTACTAGAGATAGATAAGAACTTTCGTGATATTGTCTAAACTCTCTGTACTCACTGAAAGCATAATTGAGACAAATAGATATTATTTAGATCTTATGTTCATTATTCATACTTTACTCTGATATCGTAATTCATACTCGATTTCATTGCAACTACATTCGGTATCAGAGCAGGATTCATACATAATTGTTCTAATTTTCTGAGTTTTTGCAAAAGTTTTGAGTCTCGTGTTAGATCTCAATTTTCCACTCTTTTGCTTCAGAAAATCATCTTAGATCTTCTGTTGTGAGTCAATTCTGCGTTCTAGTTGTTAAATCGAGTGTTCGATTGGTGAATTCTGAATGTTTTAGCTGTTTGATCTCATTTTGATTTGAGCTTTTCTCAAAAATTTCCGTATAACAATGGCGAACTTCAACATGAACACGATGACGTGTTACTCTCATCTCCTTGGTTCATCAACGAAGATTCCGATGCTGATTCCCGAGTACTACAATCAGTGGGCTGATCGTATGGAGGATTACTTGAACGGAATAGATGAAGAACTTTGGAAGTGTATTATCGGTGATGTTCGTCCACCTCCTGCTGTTCAGAGTATTAGAACTTCTTCCAACAATCAAAATGACAATGAACAGACTGAAAGATTGTTGAAGAATGAGAAGAAGTGTATGAGAGAACTCAGAGGTACTCTGCCTCCTGTTGTTTACAATTACGTTCGTAGCTGTAAAACTGCAAAAGAGATCTGGAATACTCTTAAGGAAAAGTATCAAGGAAGTGAAAAGACAAAAATCAATTCAGTGAAACATTGTCTAGTTGAATTAAGAGAATTTAAACAGAAAGAAGGTGAATCCATCGAATTGTACTATGATCGTCTAAATAAGCTCATATATAAGTGCAATCGATATGGGATCACCAGGTCAACAATGGAGTTTAATCTCACATTCATTGTTGGGCTTCGCAAAGAGTGGCGAAATGTTAGTCTGATGGTGAAGACTCATCAAGGTTTCGATTATTTCTCCTTGAATGATTTTTACAATCTATTGAAAACTCATGAATCCGAAGTAAATTAAATAGCTGAAGAAGCAAAGATCAGTTTGGGTGGTCCGCTTGCATTGGTTTCGAAAGTTACTGGAAGGGAAGCTGAGAAAATAGGCTACAGAGAAAGAAGATTCGGATGATGAAGGGTTGATTGTAAACTCTGATGATGAGGCTATTGCATTTTACTCTAACAATCGAGTAAATAGTTTTTTCAAGAAGCCATTCAATGCAAAGTCGAAAGCAAGTGATGTGAGGGGAAGTTTTGCTGGAAAATCTGGGAGTGATGAGAAGAAGGTTGAGAAAAAGGAAGTTTGTGTTGATGAAGAGAAGAAAGAGAAAAAGCTAAAAGGCGATGCTGGATTCAACTACCATTACTGCAATGGGGAAAATCATATAGCAAATGACGGTATGCTGTGAAAGCGTAATGAGAAGAAGAACAAGGTAAAAGACGAAGCTTATTACGTTGAAAGGTTGGAAGAGGTTCGTGCAAAGGCAAATGGATTGTCTCTGGTGGCCAAAGGTGTGGATGAAGAAGATGGTACATACCAGATTTGGTCATCTGGTTCCGATGACGACGAGATGCGAAACCCTACACATGGGGCAATGTTCTCAAAGTATGAGGAAGAAGAGGAGGAGAAAATAACCGGGAAATGCTTTTTTTCGACATATTCACACAAATCTCCAATGACTTCTCAGGTACGTTCTCTTTTACAATCGTTTAATATTCCCTCTAGTTTATATGATTCGATTCTATCTGAGTTTGATGCAGTTATTACTTACGTTAACGATCTACTTATTTCTGCTAGTAATGATGCTAAGAAGTCGAACACACAACTCTTAGAAACTCAAAGGATGTTGGATTCAAAGAAAATGAAAATAGAATACTTATATATGCAAATAAAAAATTTGATGTGTGATAGGGATAGTTTAAGCGCAAATGTTAAAATGTTGTTAAAACAAAGGAATATATACTGTAACTCTGCCAAAAGATTATATGGTAAATTGACAGCATTGCATCATTCTTCAGATATTAGCAAAGAACAACATAGGAAACTTTTGCCATTTTTAGCATTCGAAAGGGAGAAAATTGACTCTATTTCCTATGATTGTGAACAAACAATTGCTGAATTTGATAAGGTTCCAGATAATAGATATGCATATGGAATAGTGAAAATTGATGAATGTCTGAATGCTAATAAATTAGTTGATATTGTAAATGAAACCTTGAACAAAGACGAACAAATAAAGATTTTGAAAAGAACCGAGAATTCGAAAACTAACCCTCACACAAATTTTGCTAATATCGAAGATGATTCTGATGATATTAGTGAAATTGAAGAGGAGGAAGTTATTGATTGTTCTCAGTTGTTTGTTATTAATATCACTTCACTGGCTAAAGGCAAAGAAAAATGTAATGATTCTACGATTAAAGTTGACACTGACAAACCCTCAACTTCGAAAGTTAATGATCATGACCATGTGACTGTTGAAGAAAGTCAAACAGATAGTGACAATGACAATGATGATGTTCCGAAAGAAATAACCATTCCAAGGGTTGTTGTTGATCAGGTTTTTAACGAAACTGAGAAATTCAAAACAATTATGAAGGAAAAAGGTTCTCATTACCTTGAAACAAACACAGTTGTGTATCCAAATTTCAAATGCTCAAATGAGGTTATCTTTCCAAATCAGGTTTTTGTCACAAAAGGAAATTGTGATAATGTTAAACCTGAGTTTCATAATATGGTTGAAGAAGATAACAAGAAAGCATCAAAAAAATGATTTTTCTCAAACCAAAGTATTGTCGAAAACAATTTAACGAAGAATTCTTACGCTTTTCAATCACTAAAACCACAACAAGTTTGGGTTGAAAAATCTGAAAAATCAAAAGATGTTTCAAAACAAGATGACATTGTTTCTAAACATGTCAAAATTAATTCTCAAGAGTTTAAAGAACAAATTGAAAAGATTTAGAAAGAAAGTGGTATTTCAA